TTGAAATTAGAAGATAAATAAATGTATGTATACCTCTCAACCTGTGCGGTAATTCACAAGCTATTTTTACATTTTTCAAAATAAATGTTTGATCTAATTTCATGCAATAATAATAATAATAATATTAATGAGTTTGTTTTATTTATTTATTTTAAAGCCAATTATCGGATAAATAAGGGATTTGTTTTAAAATAATACAAAAATTAAAAACCTTATATATTAACCAAAAAATATTTACTATATGGAGATATTTTTAATAGATTGTATAATATTATCGGGCAAGTCAAATATTTAAAAAGTCGTCGTATGAAGATGCCGTTATAACTTATTCCATTAAATAGTAGCTAATGGAAACATGTGGTATTATTAATGTTGGGACTGTGCAATTGGCCGGTCAATTGACCGACAATTAACCACTTCTTAATTGACTAGTAAAATTAGATGAAATGTTCCGAATCTTGTTATCAGACAATAATTCTGTTTGGCAAAGTGTCCCTATCAACCATTGTGTGCCTCAGGGCTCCATCTTGAAGCCCACACTTTTTGTAATGTATATTAATAATCTACGATACTTGATTTACATTGTCTCGGTCTGAGTTCTATAATTACGGCCATACTAAAGATTTATACGAAAAGCAGACCAGAAATTACACCGACCATTTGATAAAGATGGTTGAAAGACCAGCTCCTATACCAAAGTACTACCGTTACGGAACTAAAGATCTATCTGTTACTGAATTGTCAAAAGAAAAAGAATAGGCTCAATTTGGAAAATTTAGAAAAACCCCTTGATTCTATAAAATAATCCGAGAAATTTAAATAAGATATATTAACTTTGATGGGCCCGTTATAGGACTTTTCATAGGTATAATTATATATATTTTAGGTAATACATTTGCATACAAAAGCAGGAACGGGCTATATTTTATATATTATAAAAATATCTGATACGGGCATTATGACAAAAAATCACTTCAAAAATTATACTTAAAAGTCAACGTTCATGTCCTTTATTTATGCTGTAGGGCGTCTTTTTCGTAAAGTTCATTAAGTAATCATTTAAGTTTTTGCTCCAAATAAATTAACGTTAACGGGTGTATTCGTGAATCCGCCATAACTCAAACAAATGCGACAGTTTCCTTCGTCGAATGTTACCCGCACGAAGATATCACTCAATCTCTCTTTTCCGTCGGCATTTACGCAAAGAACCATGCGATCGTTCTCCCAAACAAATTTAAAACATCCTGTACGTTTTCCCGTAACTCGGGAGATAACGGTATGCTGAGCTACACGCGGGCCGACCAAGATGTATCTCGGGAAAAAGCAATATGCTAATTGATTTTGGTTTCTCATCGTTGACTGAGTGTTCCGCATACGAAGAGCCGGAGACAAGTTATCGAAACCAGGAGTGACGGCGTAGGAAACCCAACGCTAGCAAGTGATATATATGCTTTGCGAATCTGATTTTGATAAATATATATAAAAGAGGTTTCCCTACAGCCTTGGTCTTTTACCGCATCCCAACCTCCACGCGTCTGGATCGCTGTACATATCCTCTGTGAGACTTCCCTTTTGAATAACTTCATCAATTCCTGCCTTCCAGCTTTTCCGTGGTCTGCCTCTTTTCCTTCTTTGTGGTGGCCTCCACTCATAAATTTTCTTGGGTATGCTGTCTTCGCTCATTCGACTCATATGTCCAAACCACATTAGTTGTTTTTCTTCAATAGTATCTAATAGTCTCTTTTCTACATTCATTCTGTTCAAAATTGCGTCATTTTTAATTTTGTCCATTAATGTGGTTTTACAGCACTTTCTCCAATACATCATTTCTGTAGAAGCTACCTTTTCTCTCATAGAATTTGACATGTTTAGAAAGCTTGTAGAGGAATACAAGATATGGAGCCAGGAAATAAATATAGAAAGATTTACACACTGATGTGGGGAAGTATTAAACATGCAAACCAGTATAAGTACTTACAAGTGACTATAACATCGGACGGAAGAGATGAGGTGGACGTACGAAGCAAAATTAATAAAGGAAAAATTGTTATGTGTCAATTACACCCAGTGTTATGGAATGAACTAATTTCCCAAAAAATTAAGAGGAGAATGTTTAACTCCTTTGTTCAAATTACAATTACGTATGGGTCAGAGGTCTGGAAAAAAAATTGATAAATGATTGTAAAAAACAGAAAATATGTGGTAATCTTGGAGCTGGTGATTTAAGGGTTAAATTAAGGTTAAATTCAAGATCAGAAAAAAGTAACGAAATTTAATACCAAAAAATTTTTCTCAATTTTTTTTTACATAGTCTCCTTGGAACGCTATACACTTCTCCCAGCCATGCTCCCATCTCGCTAACCCGTCCAAATAGTACCCAGGGTTTTTCTCTGCACGAGGGTGATTGCCTCCTCATTCGACGAAAATCTTTGTCCGAGCGCAGTTTTCAGATGAGGGAGCAAAAAGAAATCGCTTAATTCGTAGATTTTTTTACAAATGTGGCCGTTTTTCGGCAATTTCTGTCCTCAGCTTGTCAAGTAAAAATATGCTAAAAGTATGCTTCTGCAACGGCTTTTCCTTTTTGAAGGTGATAACTCCATGGCTATCCCAAAAAACAGTCGCCATCGCTTTTCCAGCCGAAAAAACTTCTTGCTGTGTTGCTGTTTTCGGAGGCGGTTCCCCCTTCGCAGTTTGTTTTAACTATATTTTTGGTAATGGTGTATCCAAGGTTCACCTATAGTAAGTAATCGACGCCAAAGCTAGGATTTATTATGCCTAAACTGCGATAACAGAGCGATGGAAACCTTCATTCTAAAACGTTTTTGGTCTAATCTGAGTGCAGCTTTTCCATGCCCTAATCTTTATTCAAAATGTGACAAACACGTTCTTCAACTATCAAGAGGGGCACAACTACGATCACTATCTTTTAGTAACTAGTGCCGACATCTTGCGTGACTCTACTTACTGCAAAGGTTACAATGCGTGAGCAAGCAAATAAATTATTGTTGTGAGCAATTTAAGCAAAGTAGTTTATTTAAACTTGTCTCTTAGTATGCTACAGTCGAAAAGGCGATGTTGGGATTAGTAATCATGGCGAGCTCAGCGAGCGATTTGTGAAGCTCTAGGTGAGGACTTGCGATTATTTATGATTCCATCTTTAGTATGTGTGAATGTTGAATGTATGAATAAAATAACACAATGGTTCCGGGCAATATCACAATCCTCTTGAAAAACAATTCTACTAAAACGTTCAAAAAGTTAAGTTAAAAAGCTGGCGTTTATTATCCACAAATTTGGGAATTTGCTCAGAAATTTTCAGTTCTGGTTAGTTCCGTTAAGTTCTTAATGAAAATACAGCTTTTCCACAATTTTCATCACCAACATAAAGCATGATATGCTTAAAAATGTATATCATTAAGAAACTGAAAAAAATTACCTCCCTAGCACTACACTGGCATCTTGTCAAGAACGACCTGCCTTTTTGTTGCAGAAACGCTCTTAAAATTTAATATTCTTAAAAGCAACATTTGCTACCTCCATCAATCCTTTTCTTGTGTCATCTTTTTTCCATCCGAACCGATTTCTTTTAATAAACTGCTTAGTGATCAATTGTAGGAGTCAAATAAACTTTACAACACTCTAATTTGAGGCTTCAGGTAAGCAACATAATAATTAATTGACATATCAAAAAATATATCTGTCTCTGACATATACACATTTATAAGAAGAGACAACAACAGCAGATCTGATAATGATGGATAAACGAGTAAGTATAATATTAACTAGTAAAAATTTGGTTTGAGTGGTGCGAATTTTTATAATCTGATGAGTTTTGTTATTATTTTTTAATTTGTTGAACTGTAATTTTTTCGTGACGGTCGTTGAAGAAGTATAACCTTAATAGTAGTAAAGGGTACTTTATAAACCAATAGGTTATAAGGTCATATAGTGAAGTTTTATTGCTACAACTGCATAAAAAAACTGTTTTTAATCGACACAGGTGTGTGAAGGTATTCTGAATTCAGTAAGGTTATTAACTTTTCCAATAACAAAATTGCAAATAAAAGTTCTACATTTTTGAATACAAAAAAGTATCGTAGTATGATCGAAAAATTAAAATAGAGTTTGAAAATTTTAAAATTTAAATTTCAATAACAAAAAAAGTTAGTTAATCAACTTGAACAAATTTGAGCTCTACGCCTTAAATTGAAAAAAAATCACGCCTCCAATTATGTGGGTCAGTCGAAACTAGCCCAATTTTGTGTTAGCCCGGCGGCCAAAGAAGTTAACTATGTTCATAATGAACCGCGAGTCCATCAATAACGACATCAATTAATCTCACACACGCACACACCGAGAAACACGTGTACATACGATAATATTACGGAATTTAAGCGTCGGAGTAATAATAACGTTCATTAATCAACGCGCCCAAAATGGGTTACCGTTACGCCCCCTGGCGGCTGCCGCGCGCGGGCAACCATAGTTCAAGCGGTTACTCGACTCCGGAATAATTTTCGCCAAATAAAATTTAACCGCCTGACTCCGAAAACAGTAAACTCTCGCGAGCGTTCTTCCACATTTGCTGGGAATAAATTGAATAGTTTCCTTAAAACCGACTATCACATCGATTAAATATTTTGTCCAGTGTTACAAATCGTCTCCACCTCGCACTCCATTTGTCAAGTACTCAGTCACAGAACTCAATACAGGCCCTGCGATAGTTTCTTAATTTAAATTAAAATAGAATATGAAAAATTGCTACAAAATAGTAATGACATTTAATTCACGATAATAGATCGGTTATCCATTTTATTTTAACTAAAATCTAGAGAGTTTGTTATTGAAAAACGACAAAAAAAAATAGCATAAAATATTGATATTGATATCTTTTGGGCGAGGCTAGGCCGCGTGACGTCAGTAGCCAGACAGCAGTACGGCAGAGTATTATGTATTACGAATTCTCATAAACGTTTGTGTATGTTATTTATTTGTGCCAACACAAAGCTTCAAGGTTATTAAAGTGTTGATTCGCGAAATTTACTCCATGTTAATGTGGAAATGCTGTATGAGTTTTTGGCAAATAACGTAAATTTAAACGAACCTCAGAGCAGTGGCGAAGTAGTAAAGTAAGTAAATAATATAAAGGTACATTTTTTTTTATTTAGCACTAATGAATGGGTAACGTTCCCTCTTGCATTGGCTAAACGATCAGGCTCATCCGGAAAATGTCAAAAATTTGCGAATTTCGCCCTCATGAGAACGTAGACTTTTAAAGGAAATAAATATATGTACAATGTATTATTTCAAATATAGGTTAACAGAAATATACGAATCATCGTGTTCGAGGATTACCAAGTGAAATTATTAGAAAAGTAACAAAAAAATTATTTTTGGCCCCTTGTTTTGTATAACTTGCTTAGAATTCTAAAAATCGAAATTACTTTGTAACCAAAAATTGTGTACCAAATGAAATTTTCAATGAGAGACGTTGTAGGAGAACGACCAGTCACGTAGACATTAATCCGATAATCTGTCCGGCTGCAAGCCAATGCAGTGTGCGAAAATTTTGTATTGGAATCTGTATTTCCAAATCACTGCTTTTTTAATGTCGCTAACCAGGGCGTTGCGTTGAGACCTTGCGAAAGGCAGTACTTAGAGCTTTGAAATATTTTGGTAGGGTTTTAAAAACACTAAAGTAGTTCAATTGGACGTATTTTTAGCTAACAAAATATTCAACTAACCAAGAAAAAATTCTATTGAAAGACGTTCGTAATGTTCACTTCCTGTGACTTTGTTAAGTTGAAGTTTAACGGTGCCTTGAAGAGCCGGACGTCAGTAAATGACGGGTTGAAGTTTCGAAACGATATCAGTTCTCCAAAAATATACTCAAGACTAGAAACCAATATCAAAGCAAATAGATAGCGTCACTCACCATGACTCTCTGTCGGTGCAATTCCTGGATACGTTTCCGCTTTTCCAACTCGACCTTTCGGGTTAGCAGGTCCCGAATTTCGGACGACGGCGCGTCGCAGGTCTGAGAGACGCTACCGCCGACCGGGTCACCGACCTCGGCGTCTGCGTCGCCAATTACTTCGCCATTGCCCGCATCCTCGTCCCCGCTAAAGGTCTCCAGCAGCACGTCGTCGTTACTGGGGGTCTGTTGAAAAAGGAACCACGAAAACGACTTAAAATAATGAAGAATTAAACGGCAGTGGGTAAATGTCGGTAAAATCGGTTCACTAACAGCATACATATGAGTTTATCGATCCTTTCGACGTTCTCAGACACACAATTAACAACTAACTGAGAAAACCATAAAAAATAATTTATAAATTAACGATATTTGAAATCTTGTAAAATTTCATGTGTGCCCCTTTTCCGGAAAATTTTCTTATAATATCTACTTATAAAGAAATAAAATCAATTCGCTAATAACCCATACAAAAGTATTTTTCTACTCCCGTCTGTAAAATATCTAATTACGCACCGATCTAGCGTGTGCGGGAAGCGTCGTTTTACCACGTCAGTTTCGTTTCCCACGAATCCGAGTCACTTCGGACATTTCCGGGATTTTACCGCACGGGTTTGGGAGCAATCGGATGTCTTCGGAGATATTTCTCACGCTTTGAATTTTGACGTTTGTCAATTCTGACAGTCATTTCAGTGAAGGTATTCGTGTTTTGCGCTCCGCTCGTGTCAAATAAACTCGTGAGTCAAATGCCGCTTACCGCGCTTGTTGCATAATATACTATTAATTGTTCTCTCGACGTTCTCAAAAAGTTAGTTTAAATTTGAGAAAATGGTTCGTACTATTCAAAACATCTTAAACTTAAGAATGTCAAAACGTAGTAATAATTACAGCTGCTGGATAATTTTGTAATCTTCATAAGTAAGATAAATAACGACGTTTTGTTTCGATGTAAAATCATACAGCATTATAAATAAGATGGAAAAGCGTCCCAAAATTCCACTTTATTTAGTTTTTATGATTCTCTACTTTACATATCGCTTTTTGTTTGTGTTGCTGTCTAAAGACGTAAAAAATGAGGTTATGTTATCTGGTAATATGGTAAGCAAAACAATATTCTCACTCATAGCATGAATTATAACTTAGAAAAGACCCTTTATAACGAATCCACGTTTATTAAAATGCGATAAGCCTTTTTGGAGTTATCGACATTTATTAATGAAAATGTTCCCCGACATTTTGTCTTCAGAGCAACGCATTAAACAATGATAAATTTGGCTGATCTTTATAACATTACTCACTCTAAATATACTTAGTCAGCTACCGGGAGGTTATTTCGCAGTTTTAAGAATAATTCGCAGCATTATTTATTTTGCCGATTTACTTAACTTTTTTTTTCAAATTTCTAAAACCATCAGTTTATTATTATTTATGATTTAAAAAACGGAACTTAATCTCAAAATCGACTAATTTGCCCTGTTGCTGAATCTAGCTTAACGTATAGAATGGCGAACAAAATTAATCCCAGGACTAGAACTGCGCAGGTTCGCCTTATGTTAATATTTATCAAACATTGTCAGAATTCCCGAGTAATGCCTTATCAAATGACATCACAAGTTGCAAAATAAGTTGAAGTGTGTTAAATATGTCTCAAAAGGAAGAAATACTGAAAGATGTTTGCTAAATAAGATCCAAGCGGAGAAGTATTGAAATTTCCGAATGAAATTTTGTAAAAAAAAACTTCATTCGTTCATTTCCATTATGTTGTCATCCAAAAAGTTTTGAATTATGGTTTCTTTTTTGATTTATTTAGAGCGCTGAAGAATCTGGTTCAAACAAAATCTCAAAAACGTTCAAAAAATTCGAAAATGTTCGATTTGACAGCTGAATGAAAGAAAACATTGCGTCACGACTCAACACAGAAAAAATCCCAAGGAGGAACAAAAGGACCAACCAGAGAAAAGCAAGCAACTCACCAAAGACCCATCGTCGGGAGACGAATCTCTTCCTCTGTCGCATCGCACTACCGAAACGTAATCCCTCCTCCCGTCTTCGATTTCCAACTTTAAAACGGGTGGTTCCAGACCGCAAAGGTAGACGGTGCCGAAGAACAGCAATTTTGAGATGCGCAGCCGCAACTGCGCGAGTTCCGGATCCAGAGATTTCGACGCGAATGTTGTCTCTCTTTCGTTGAACATTAAGGGAGTAAACCCGCAAAGCACCGCGTCTTCGGGCAAACGGACTGCTTCGTAATCTGAAACAAAGCAGCTTGTAGAGCTTTGCAGCAATTTTTTATTAAATGTTCAAACGTTTTTGAAGAATCTTCACTATTGCATTTTTCTTCATGATGCTTCAGCTAAATTAATATACGTTACATTTCTAATAAAGATTTTTGTGCCAATGCCCTAAAATGAACAGTAACACCAATTATAACTTTGAAAAAGCCCTTTTTAATGAGTCCACGGTTATTTAAATGCGTTGCTGACTAACGTTTTAAAGTGATACCTTTCGCACGCCTGGTCAAGGCAGTAAAAACGGATAAAAACTTTTAGAGTTCGCCCAACCATATACCGTTTTTACGACCATTTATGGTCTTGACTTCAGAATAAGTTTAAGACCCGACTGTTATAAAGCGGAAGGGACCATTCTTTTTAGCACGTTTACCACAAGCCAGGGCCGTATTTAAGATGTAGCTGACGAGCTTTTTTTTTATTTTAAGAGTAGGAAAATTTTCTTTGATTAAACTGTTATATTAATTCTTATTAGTGTGCTCTTCATACATATTTCTAAAACGGTCCCTATTTGAGGTAGCTCGATTTCAAGTTGAATTTGCCCATTTGGTAGGTTGATCTCCTATATTAAAAACAGATTAGAAAGCTTATTTTAGCCAAGCCAATTTAAGGGTTTAAGATAATGACTCTAAAATATTTTCCTTTACGTGCGTTCGTCTGAAGGATTGGTTTCTATTACAGAAACATCAATAAGAGACAGTTTTGATCGAATCAAGAAGAGTTAAACGTCCCCATTATATATTTAGATGAGACCTGGTTTGATAGCCAGAAGAAAGGATGGTCTGATGGTAACAGCAGAAAATGTTCGTTGGATGTGCCAGTTTCGCGGGGCAAACAAATTACTCTGAAGCTGGTTGGGTAGATAACGCTTTGTTGTTTTCTGTAAAAGATGTTAAAGAAGCAAAGGTTGGCTACCACGAAAACATGACAGCCGACTTCTTTGAAAAATGGTTTTCTGAAAAATTGCTTCTCAATATTCCACCAAACAGTGTTGTCGTGGAGGACAACGTCAGCTACCATTCTGCACAAGAGGAAAAAATACAGCATTCATTATCGCCTAAAGAAGTCATTCAAAATTTTTTGTTTGAAAATGATTTTTCACTGCATAATCGTGGAAGCTCACGGATGAAACTCTACATAAATCCGCCTGAGAGGTAGGCCTGCACAAAAGTTCACCAAAGTTAAATACCGGCTTATGTCGTAAAGACGGTATATCTTTAACGAACTCTAATATCAAATGTTTAATTATATTAAGTTAGATAGTTAAAATTAAACAATCATTCTCCAAACATTTAATATTTAAAGCTTTAATCCAATACAAGATGGTGTCTTTACCACCTTCATATTAATATACGTTTTTTGCTCAGGGTGTGATGCTGTCTTTATTTCCTCTATTACAAGCGTTAGCTGAACATGAGCACCTGAGTGCACGATACATGTATTGACGTCTTGACGCCTTTTTATAAAAAAGAATTTTACTTCAAATTAGTGTGAAGGAGGACAAGGTCGCGTTTTCCTCTTGAGTTTACTGCTTCATTTCGAGAGATCTACTACTTCTGGAATTTTAAAAATGTACATATTGGTCTGTTTTTTTAACATTTCAATTTACTTTTGGATACAATCAATAGGGTAAAGAATTCAGTATACAAAAAAATATAATTATGATATTAATTAAGGCAAAAATATACAATTTTTGTTGGAAAAGTGATTCTAAATCAATATATCCAAAATTTTGAGCGAGTTTACATTGTTTTTTCCACATTTTATGTTACTCTGTTTATTTTGTTTTCGCCTTTCTTAAAGATTATTGGAGCCAAAACTGCCGACTTATATTTGTTTTGAATAAAAAACTACTCCATAAACGATTAACGTGGATTAAGTTTATTCAATTAAATTCACGAAATAATTTATTTATTGTCCTAGACCCGACAATTGGTAGAAAACTTTATTTCGTTTTGAAGCATGAACACCAAACTTACACATCGTTTTATCCTTTTCTTCACTTCTACTAGCCTAGTATCCCTACTTTCAGATATAATATTTAAATTTGATTTCTATTAGTATCGAACGGGTATTGTAAAGGAAATTATGGAGCACCCCTCGTATATGCATTATTCAAAATTCCGTTTAAATCGACGTAAGTAAATAGCGTTAAAGAAGGTCAGTTATGTTCCGTTTTTACGGGTGGTTGGTTTGACTTCTGCATCCAATCTGTGTAGTCGTGCGCGAGGCTAATAACAATTCCGTCTCATAAATCCATTATTTGTCTTCGGAATTTCTGTGTCAGTCGAGTTGACAAATGGACCTTCCGGCACCGCAGAAAATTACCAAACTCTGCGTGCATTACCAACATTATAATTTTCCAATTATAGATCCACCCTTAAATTTAATTTCAATATAAGCGTCAATTTGATTAAAGGAACCTAAATATCAAATAAACATATAGTAATAAAAAAAATATTTCAATATTTTGCAACAATAAACGTTGGCGCTAGTAAATAAAATCCCAAATATTTTTTTAGGTCAAGGTAATCAATGAAATGTCAAAATATTTTTGTGTCGGTACGAAACAGTGAGAAAAGTAGAAAGTGGAGAAAAAAGAAAGATCTTAGAAGAACACATACAATGGCTGGAACCATTTGAGTAGAACCACATTAAAAAATCCATTCTATTGCCAAAAAAGTATGATCTCCAGTAATAGTAACTTAGACAATGATAAAAACTACATGATTAAATATGAATACAAACAAATCACCTTACAACTTTATTTTGGCATCATCTTTGCATAAACACTTCATTTACTTCACAAACACACCGTCCATCTTTTTTTAATGCAAAAGTTTAAATTTTTAAACCGATAATTGCTACACGGTGTATGTGATTGTAAATACCCTCCGAACGATAAAAAACCCACATACATAGACGACATAATTTATTACTATCTGACCATATGGACAAAAATGGATCTAATTCGATGTGTAAGAGAATTTTTCGGCTTTTTTCTTTATCCCATGCCGGGCTAGAAACAATACGCATACCGAACAGTTGTTGCACTTTTGTTTATAACATCATTAATCAGCGTAATGCTGTCCCTAATGATTTATTATTATTATTGTATCGGGTGAACCGAACATGAGAAAAAAAGAAGATGCATCTGGGCTTGTTAAGGCGCCCGAATCTTGTTATTTCGACTCCCACTGATAATTTTCGTTGGGTCGGCCGATTGTTAGATATTATGTTATTATTAGATACGTATTAATTACAAACCCGACTGCGATGACGTAAAAACAATAAGAGGTCGATGACACAAGCCCATGTACGGAGAGAACAGATATTACAGAGTATTTAAAATAAAGAAACAAATAAATCTTGTTAATTTAAAGTTTATGCCAAAAAAAAAACAATAAACGAACTGTTAGCCAAAAATTTGAATTTCTAATTTACCGGCAATTTACATTAAAGTAAAATTATATCACCCACATTTTATATATATGTTCCCGGCATTGTCAACATGCAAAATCAGTACTATTTTGGGTTCTCTGCAAATTTACTTTGCTGTTTTAGACAATCTGAATTAAACGTTTTTACCTTTACAGATATTCACATATAGTTTATTCTTGGGATCAATACATTGAATAATTCCATATCATAAAACACTTACTTTCTCGGGCTTCGTTGACAAAAATGTCACTCGAATCCGGATCCATTTTCTCCAGCAAGTTCATTAATACTCCAAGGCGATTCCAAAGATCCCCTGAATGCCTGAAAGAAACACATACGCAATTATTTATAGACATCTATTTCTTGGTCTTGAATACGCAAAACAAACACAGAAAAATCATTTCACTAATAAATTTTAAAATTAAATTTAAATCGGAACATTTTTTTCTTTAATTCAAACGGCTACAAAAATTTGTATAACTTTTTCACACTCACCCGACTTTGAAATCTTGCGTGCTGGGTGGCGGATTCCAAACAGGCGTATGGCACAGCATCCAATCGCACCAGATCTTGATGGCCGGCAAGAGTATGCTGACATCATAGGGCAGCGAATCTAGAGTATAGCCGGTGTCGCCTTGTTTTTTGATGTTGGCAAAGTGCTCCTGAAGGATGGAAACGCATCGTTCCAGGATAAGGTTAAACATTTGTAGGGACACTATAAGAGCACGCTCTTGCAATTCAGATCGGTAACCGTCTAATTGGGGATCTGAAACGAGAACGTAAATTTAACTCTCTCGATTTGGCATATGATCAGCAATAGTTGACCAACTAACCAACATTCAATCAACCTACAGTCATATTATTAACTTCTTTCTAACAGATAATATGCAATTAGCAGGTATTTACGCATGTCAGTATTATATTTATGATAAAAGAATTAAGATTCATACTTTATAATTTGACAATGATTGAAGTTTCAAGATTTTTATTGAGTATAATTAAAAAAACGAACTTAATCTGCAAGCATTAAAAAAGGATACAAACAATCGGGATTAATTTGTAAAACATAACGCAAACTTATTTAAAGAAAATGAAACTCCTCAGCAATTATTGTTTTTAAATTCTGTGCTCGGTGTTAGAGTTTGCGCAATGTACAAAACGTCTCTACCAGGTGTACAACAGAAAGAGATATAGGTAACAAATTGTAACCACAATGTTTGTAGCATTTTTTGTTATAAATATGAATAAAAGTGAAAAGTGTTTTGTTTTTAATTCCAATTAATACTAATACTAATACTATTTACAGAACTTCTGGATTCCTCCTGCGTCGGTTGTTGCTGAGCCGAACTTAAGAGTTTAACTGAAACTGGCTCGCATTTTACTCTGTACCTGCTTATAAAGGGTGATTCGATAAGGGTTTCCACATTAAAATAATAAAAAAAAACTCGGAAGAATATATAAATATACAAACATTTTTATTTGCCATTTAAGATTAGTGTATTACAATTAGGTATGAAAGATGATGTCATTCAAATGACCCCCGCCACTCATGTGCCATGACGTATTTCGTTTATTGAAATTTCCTATCACTTTTTGACACAATTCTGGTTCTATGCCGGCTATTTCGCGTCTAATCTCCTGTTTCAGCTCTGGAATAGTGTTTGGTTTATTTCTATACACCCTGCTTTTTAGATACCCAAAAAAAAAATCTAGGGGAGTAAGATCACATGATCGCGGCGGCCAATTGATATCGCCGTTACGTGAGATAATCCGACCAGGAAACTTGGCCCGCAGCAATTGCATCGTTTCTCTGGATGTGTGACAAGGGGCTCCATCCTGTTGGAACCACAAATCTTCAATGTCCATACCTTACATCTGCTCCCAGAAAAAATCAGATATCATGTTTTGATAGCGCGCACCATTAACCGTAACAGCGTTCTCCGTATTATCCTCGAAAAAAAAGGGCCAATTATTCCTCCGCACCAAAATGCGCACCAAACAGTCACTTTTTGAGGATGCATTGCTTTTTGAACAATCTCTCTTGGATTTTCTAATCCCCAAATACCAGCATTGTGTTTGTTTACAAAGTCACCAACGTGAAAATATGCCTCATCGCTAAAGATGATTTTCCTTGAAAAATGAACCCCTTTTTCTGGTATCCATTCTGCAAACACGTAGCGCTGTTGATGATCTCGAGGTTTCAACTCCTGAGTTATTTGGATTTTATAAGGGTGCAGATGCAAGTCTTTTGTTAAAATTCGCTGTGTGGTTGAATACGTAAGGCCTACTTGCTGCGATCGATGACGAATCGATGTGTTTAGATCTTCGGCTACACTCGCCGGCGAACAATGGCAATATTTTGATCTGACCGACCTGCACGAGCACGTTGAGGGACTTTGAGGTTAGTTATAAATCCAGTTTACTCAACAGTGGCAAATGTGGAATTGCTTTCCGGCTCATTGCTATTGGAAGGTTGTGGTGTAGTGTATTTTCTAATGGGACGCATAATGTCCTTAATGTGGAAATTATTAAAGTGAAGAGCAGAGGTAAGGTGTTTGAGACTTGATAAATTATGATTTTTGCGCCGGTTGGTGATGAGGCCAAATAACAAAAGCTTCATCGACGTAGCGTAATTTTGGTTTTAGATGGAAGGTGATTCGCCATGACGGGTGATAATGGAGAACCCATAGCTGTTCCAGACGTTTGGTAAATATTTGACCGTTATAAGAAAAATATGTGCCAGAGAAGCATTTTTCAAACAAGGCGAGAAGGTTGGGTTCCAGATTCTAGGATTTTAATATATCTGAAATGATGTTGAGAGTTTCAGGAATAGGGACTTTAGTTAGTAAAGAGGGATTCTACGCCGAAACTAACCAGAATCTTTTGTATCTAATGTAATCTAATGTATCTAATGTAATGCTTCAATTCAATTCAATAAAGTATGAACTATCAGTTTTCCCTCCAAAGGGTTTTAACAAAGAAGCTAGATATTTCGCTAGAGAATATGTTGGTGACAATAGGTCGAAGGGGTAATCCTGGTTTGTGTTTTGTAAATAGTATGCTACGAATATGAAAAGCCTATACCAAAGAGATTCTGAATAAACAGACATCTGTGGGACAATGGGACACCCCGTATATAGCTCCGGTAGCACAATGGTGCGTCCAATTACCCAATGTTGTTGATATTGGCTATTAGATAGCGTTCGATTAAAATAAGCGCGCGGAAGCGGCAAAGCGTTAAATAAAAACGCGATTTTATTGAATTTCCACGAGACGGTTAAGCGCGCAACAGAACCCGAAGCCGAGAGATTACAGTAATCGTTCGTTTTTTACCATCACAACAACCTTTAAAGAAAATCGAATCGTGTGTATTAAAACGGAGATCTATCTCTGGCGGCGTAATAATAATTGCGTGCGCGGATCTATCACGTATAGACGCGAAAAATATAAGAGATCGGGGCAAAAAGTAAAAAGGATGACGTGCCCGGGTTTAGCTGAGAATCTGCGTTTACTTACGCGGTTACTGACGGTCACGTTCCGAAGGATGAGATCGAATTATCATAGGCTTCAACACGGGTAGTTCGGTCCGGCGATTGGCTAAACGGCCGTTCAAATACGTGTGCGAAATCGAAATTTTCCAGAGAAACGTACTCTGCAAATCGCTTTTGATTTATTCCGCGTTTTCCTATCTAATACTGATTTAATCTGATTAAATATAAAGCAGTATCGCGAGATTACAAAATGATCGTATTATAGTTTTAATAGATATGCAGGGTGGCAATAATCTGGGAATATCTCTGTTATTTATTATTGTTTTCCAAAGTCTTTAAAACCTGACGAAATTAGACTAATTTTTCTGTTTAGTTTTTTAAATGGCACCTGCTCTATCTTAAGTCGATTTCAGAAATATGTACAGTGTGTGAATCAACGCTAAAGCAAAATTTCAAATTATTTCCATAATTCCAATAATAATATCGGCTTCATTTGGTTCCTAGAACGACGCGACGGCGACCTAACGCAAAATCTAAATAAATATAAAGTTCATGGTATTTTTAAAAATCATTTCGCTCAACTGACTGGTCAAATGACACAAAAAAACTGGCCAATTTCACAACCCTACCTAAACCCAATAGTTTTTCCAAAAATTTTAATTTTTCTAAAAAAATATTAGCTTTCATACTTGCAAAAAAATTACGATAGCGCCATTATTTTTCAAGGTAGATCACTCATTTAATATTAGCGTTATTTAAAGATGACGTAAAAGAACGGAATTTGTATTTGGATTATTTTAAATTGAATGATCTCGATTTTCGTAAATGCCATACCATATTATTATATTTTCTAACAGACCTTAAAAAATCTACGTTAAAATAATTTGAAATTGCGCATTCTAACAAGTTTTACAAATTTTCTATTAACCATTTTCTCAAAACTATTGAAACCAATGAAATAATGAACTTTATCGTTGACTCACCCTGTACAGAAATGAAGCTTCGTTAGATATTTCATTGCAAAATTATTCCTTATTATTGAGTGCAGGTAGTACCACTTGAGCTTGAGTCAATTTATGGGTGTCGCCTATTATTCATCCACCAACAGTGAAAATGGTGTGCCAAGCTTGCACCGATAGAATAGAATAGGCGAATCACTCCTGACGAACGCTCCTCCCTCGACTTTTTCCATTCCGTGGTTTGTGCAACCGAAAACAGCATTTTTAAACTTGAAAGGGAACGAACGAAAAAGCATTTTCAAAATATTTGACTTCTTTTTATTGATGTTACGCCATTTTGAGATTTGTAAATTGCATTTCTTTTATTTGAAGTGAATAAGTCGCAAGTTTGCTCAAGTTTGTGGTTACTGCGTGCTATTATAAGTTAGCCAAGCACGAGGAAAAAGCCTTTCCATTATGACCGAACCGAAAAAGATATTATTGTTTTAAGCCATGCGGCAACTTTTACCAAGCAGACAATGACGGTCAATTGGGTAGAGTTCACTAATATTTTAAACACTTCTTTTGGAACCTTTTCGAAATGTAGAATTTTTTTGCCAATAAAATTAAGATTTCCAGATTATTTGTCTTTGTTAGACTTGGATGGATTTGAAAATAAATATGAAGGGCAAGGAATAGAAAACATAAATAATATGGATAAAATTATAAATATGATATTACCAGTTGCCATAACTCAAATAATGAGTCGGCATCGTCAACATCATATTAATATCCTTTCTAAAATGTTCATTTAAAAACTAACCGAACTGTCAGATTAAATTGTCATTCCCTCGGTTCCTCCTTCAAAATAAGTGAAGAAAATTTCAGAGAATAAAATTCTAACGGTTGTCAATGGAATAACATTCAAAGTAAAGGAATTGCGCACTCTTGAGTTTTCCATTCTATAGCGGTCAATAATAAGGACCTCGGTATGATACTCGTCAAAAGGAAAGAATTTATTTTTTATTAAACACTATACAGCAATTGCTCCACTATAAATTATGTGTAAAAATATTGTTATAAGTTAACGTTTCGGGCGTATCAGGCTTAAGACAACAATCGTCGCGTATAAAAAATTTGAGGTGCTTTAAACAATAGATTATGCAAACTACGGTTGCAGGTTGTTTCAATGAAAACAACACCTCGCAGCGCCTAAACGTTCCCAGCTCAAAAGATATATACAAAAGACCATTTCGTGGTCTTATTTATTTCTCCGCCTTGTCGATTTGTTTCCTTAAGTGAAAAACGGCAGTTTGTGTCACGGTTTAAATCAAAAT